ACATCAATTCTCAACTTGATCTACAGATTTAATTCAATTTCAAGCAAAATCCCAATAAGTTATTTTGTGGATATGGACAAATTCTGAAATTTACGTAGAGAGGAAAAAGATCCCAAATAGACAACTCAATATTGAAGGAAAAGAGCAAAGTTGAAAGACTGACAAAATCTGCCTTTAAGACTTAGTATAAAGCTACACAATATTAAAGATAGTGTGGGTTTGGTGGAAGAATAGACAAATAGATTAATGGAACAGAATAGAGTCCAGAAATGGAACCAAATAAATATATGGTCAACTGATCTTTGACAAAGGAGCAAAGGCAATGTAATGGAGCAAAGATTTTTTTTTTTTTTAACTGGAAACTAGACAACATCCTCATGCCCCCTCCTCCATACTCAAAAAAAGGATTCTAGACACAGGTCATACACACTTCACAAACATCAACTCAAATGAATTATAGACCTAATATAACATACAAACTGCAAAACTCCTGTAAGGTAACACAGAAGAAAACCAGATGACCTTGGGTACAGTAGTGACTTTTTTAAATATAACACCAAATGCAAGATTCATGAAATAAACAATAAGCAGGACTTCGTTAAATTTTAAAACTTTTGGTCTACAAAAGAGAGTATCAAGTAGTGGAAGATGAGCCACATACTGGGAGAAAATATTTGCAAAAGACATCTGATAAAGAACTATTATCTAAAATATACAAAGAACTCATAACACTCAACAATAAGAAAACAAGCAATCTGATTTAAAATAGGCAAAAGAGCTGAATGAACACCTCAGAAAAGGAGACATACCGATAGTAGACATAATAAAATATATTCAATCTCATATGTCTTCAAGGAAATGTAAATTAAAACACAAGATACTATTACATACCTATTAGAATGGTTAAAACCAACGACACCAAAGGTTGGTGAGGATTTGGTAACAGGAACTCTCATTGCTGCTGGGAATGCAGAATCAGAGAGCCACCCTGGAAGACAATTTGGTAGCTTCTCACAAAATTACACATACTTTTACTATATGATTCAGTAATCACACTCTTTGGTATTTACCCAAAGGAGCTGAAAATACATGTTGACACAGAAACCTACACATAGATATTTCCAGCAGCTTTATTTATAACTGCCAAAATTTGGAAACAACCTAGGTGTCCTTCAGTTTGGTGAACGGATAAACTGTGGTTCATCCAGAGAATGGAACATCATTCAGTCCTAAAAAAAGAAATAAGTTGTCAAGCCATGAGAAGACATGGAGTAAATTTAAATGTATATTACTAACTGAAAGATGCTAATTTTTAGAAAGTTACACACTATATTACTCTAACCATAAGACATTCTCTTTCTTCTTCAGTCATGTCTGACTCTTTACAACCCCATGGACTATAGCCCACCAGGATTCTCGTCCATGGGATTCTCCAGGCAAGACTGCTGGAGTGGGCTGCCATACTCTCCCCCAGAGGATCTTTCCAGCCCAGGGATCAAACTTGCATCTCCTGCATTGGCAGGCGGGTTCTTTACCACTAGTGTCACCTGGGAAGCTCATTTTGTTCTGGGGTGTAGCCAATTAACAATGTGATAGTTTCAGGTGGACAGCAAAGGGACTCAGCTGCACATATACATATATCCATTCTCCCCCAAACACCCCTCCCATACGGGCTGCCACATAACATTAAGCAGAGTTTCATATGCTATATAGTAGGTCTTTTGTGGTTATCCATTTTAAAAGTAGCTGTGTGTACATGTCAATCATCCCAAACTTCCTAACTGTTCCTTCCCCACCTCCTTCTGCCCAGCAAAAAGTTCATTCTCTAAGTCTGTGAGTCTGTTTCTATTTTGTAGGTAAGTTCATTGGTATCATTTCTTTTTAGATTCCACATATAAGAGATGTCATATAGTATTTCTCCTTCTCTGACTTATTTCACTCAGTATTACACTCTCCAGGTCCATCCATGTTGTTGTAAATGGCATTATCTCATTCTTTTTAAAGGTTGAGTAATACTCTGCTGTATGTATGTAGCATATCTTCTTTATCCATTCTTCTGTCAATGAACATTTTCAACAATATGGCCTATTGAAAAAGGCAAAACTATGGAGACAGCAATGAAACAGTGATTGTCCATCCTGGGGGGGCGGGGGACAAACAGGCAGAACACAGGATCTCTAGGGCAGTACTACCTATTCTGTATGATACTACAATGGTAGATACATGGTATTAAACATTTGTCAAAACCCATGGAATGTACAACGTCAAAGGGGCTCTGCGACAATCTAGAAGGGTGGGATGGGGAGGGAGGTGGGAGGGAGATCCGGGCGGGGGCGGGGGGACATGGATGTACCTATGACTGATTCTTGTTGATGTACGCCAGAAAAGCACAAAATTCTGTAAAGCAATTATCCTTCAATTTTAAAAATGAATAAAGTGGCAAAAAAAAAAAGTTAACCCTAATGTAAAACCATGTATTTGGGGTGATAATGATGTACCAAGACAAGCTCATTACCTCTGTGACAAGGGATGTATATAATGAGAGAAGTTACAGGTGTGCTGTTGTTTAGTTGCTAAGTCATTTTCAACTCTTTTGTGACCCTATGGACCGTAGTCCCCAGGTTCCTCTGCCCGTGGAATTCTCCATGGAAGAATACTGGAGTGGGTAGCCGTTTCTTTTACTAGGGGCCTTTCCGACCCAGGATCACACCTGCACGTCCTGCACGGCAGGCGGGTCCTCTACCGCTGAGCCGCCAGGGGAGCTCTTACAGGCGTGCAGGGACAAACATAAACAAATACTTTAAAAGAACGAAAAACATGAGATCATAAATATAACTAATAGACAGATTAAAAGACTTACCATAACAACAATACCATAAAAGTTTTAAATATATGTTGTTTTTCAACTTGCCTGAATCTAGGTTAGCAAAAGCCAGAACAAGTTTCTGTTGTTTGCAACCAAACTAACTTGACACAGAACCCTTTCCAGAATTTGGCGTAAGATATTTTTAAAAAACTGATACCAACAAAAATACAATAAACAATAAGATAAACAACCCTGAGAAAATATTAGCAATGTGTAAATAAAATATAAGTCCATATTATATTAAAAACTCCTATACATAAACAAAAATGTAGAAATAGCACCATAGAAATTTGGACAATATATATGAACAAGTAATTCATAAAAGAAGAAATATACATATCTAATAAACATATGAAAAAAAATTCAACCTCACTAGCAATAAAGAAACACAAATTAAATAATCATGAAGTAACAATTTTCTTTACCAAGAAAAAAAGTGAAAATTTGAGAAAACTTAGGAAGATTCCAATACTAATAAGATCTAAGAAAATGGCCACTTTATAAACTATTGGCCAAATATAAATTAACCCTGTCTTCTCAAAGGACAGTTTGGTATAATGTCCATCAAAATCTTAAATTGGCATTTACTTTTTTTTCAGCAATTTCACTTCTAGGAATTTATCCTATGGAAAAACATATGTACACAAGAATATAAATATAAATACTATCTGTAGTCATAAATACTGGAAATAATCTAAATGTTGAAAAGAGAAATGGTTCAGTAAATTATGGCATATTCTTAGTAAGGAAGACATTGTAGCAGTTAATAAAAAGATAGATCTATATGTATTAACATGGAGTTATTTCCAGAATATAAAATTAAGTGGTAAAAGTCACACATACTTTTAATATGTTACTTATATTAAAAACTAGTCTATTAAAAAATAGTTTTAAAACTACATAGCTTAAATACATTACATATATTTAAAAATAATATCTTTAATAAAGCTTAAGGAAAAATGAAGGATCTAGAAACATACACCAAACCATTAAAAGTAGTATTTTTTATTTCCAGTGAAAGGAAGTAATCAGAAGAGTAAAAAAGGCCTTTCTTGCATTTTCTTCTATATATTTCTTTTGTTTTATATGCTTATGTATTAAGCATATAATTATTAAAGAAAGCAAACTATAACAATAAACAAAAGAATCTGACAAGCAAAAACCCTCCGTATTTAAAATTTTAAACTAAATGCTTTAATTTTTCCACTCAAATATGATTACATACTTTTTCAGACCTGAAATTCAAGAAAACAAAACTTTCCTAGCAAAAGACTAAGAACTGATATTTAATATAATTATTTAAGTTTGTAATAAAATTTAAGACAAGTACTTAATCCTAAGAGATTTAAGAAAACTTTCACTTTACAAGGACACAATGTTCAATATATTCATTTGTTCATTGTTTACTACATCAACTGTTGATATTTTAAAGTGGAAAAATATTCATTAGAAGGAAAAGTCATGAAACAACAGCAAAAATCCCTTTGTATGAGTGTCTATATAAGCTCAATGAGGTGTCTTCAGGCACAATAAATTGCTGATTGGACTTGACCAGCATTAGGAACCCAATTTCTGATTTTACTCCAACTTTATTGATTTAGAATCATGCGCCAGTTTTAACATTTTGGCAACCTTTTCATAACATGAAAACCTTATTCTATAAATCTAAATAGTCAAGGACATCTAAAAAAAATTAGATATAAAAACTACCAAAATTCACCTAATTTTTTATAAATAAAACTTTCTAATGATAAAATTAAGCTATAAATCTGGAGAAAAGTAAAAATCAACCCATCTCAACTTATAGTTACTGAATTAATTGGTTTCTAGTTATTCAGATGGATAGAAGAAGCTGGCAGGCTACAGTCCACAGGGTCACAAGAGTTAGTCATGACTTAGTGATTAAACCACCACCACCAATTATTCAGATAGAAACATAAGCCTCAAAGGAATGTTCAGATTATATCTAGGAATTATACTTAGTAATCAGTAATAATTAATGAACAAATTCAAATGTGTCAAGGTATAAATCATACTTGATATAGAGAAATTCTAGAAAAACAAAAGTCAAATCCATTTTCTGTACTTTTCTTCCAAACTAAATAAATGATAGAAAAGAATAACATACTCTAACCTTTCTGTTTTGGATTCATTGTCAATTTTGTACCGTTCAAAATCTTGGCTAAGAGACTGTAGTTTTTCTTGAAGTCTCTTTTCACGTTCTATACTTCCTTGATAAAATTTCATCTCTTTTTCCATCGCTTTTACTTTTTCTTCCATAGCCTTAAACTCATGTAGAATTAGATAGCTGACTCCACAGTACTTACAAACTTTTTCTTCAGGAGACATCTATAAAATAGAACATACATTTACTGAAATGATATTTTTTTATTTCCAAAAAATAAAAAGTTCAACTGAAGATGTTATTGCAACCATCGTGGTCAAATGAAGTAAACGTATATTGTGCTCTGCCGTGGAGTAATAATTACAACACTTCATAAAATTTTTAAAAGTGGCATGATATTGACTCTGACAAAATCTTGGAATTAGAGTAGAATCTTTCAGAGTAATAATTTCTCCATAGTATCTCTAAGAAAGATTTATATCTTTATATATCTTGAAATATCTGCCATAAAATAAAACTTTTTGATGAAAATATCTTTACAATTCTTGCTTTAAGATGAGTTTTCCCTGGTGTGGGAAGAAATCACTGGCCTTTCACTGCCAACTGCACTGTGATCCTGGAGATGGCTCTGAGCTTATTCAGACTTCATTTTCCTCATTTATACAATTAGGCATGGGGCGAATGAGTTCTAGTTCCTGTTCTGTTTTAACATTTTATGATTTGCACAGAATTTAACATTCTGTCATAAAACCACAAATAGAAGAAACACTTTGAACTTAATCTCTTCTCCCTAAATCAGTTCTTTTCCCCCTCAGGTAGGTACAGTTATACCTATTTTACAGATAAGACCATAGGGACTACTGAAGTTAAATAACCAACTGATAAGTGGAGAAGCTGACATTAAACCCAAGTCTATTTTAAAACCAGCACTTATGCCTGTAATCATTTGTATCATATTTATCTACCATGTGAATGCCTGCTAAATTCTCTTACTTCCCTCAGATGAAATGCTTATATATCTTTGGCCAGATGCAGGGAGTGAAAAGTAGAATTTTAGTGAAGTCAAGAGAGACGTAATTCTTTTTTCTGTATCAAGTATACAAATATTCCTCAAGCAGCCTCTACCTGTCTTCCTTTTCATAAAGATAAGAGAGATTCATTAAATATTTGCTTCAGGGCACTAAAACGAAAGCAACTCTTGGACAATACAAAGAATGCTTACTCTTAATGCAACTTTGTTAAGACTATGGAAACTGTTCCTATAACTAAGAGTAATGCCACCATACATGCCTATCAATGCCATCTACCATATGCGCCTACCCATGCCATTATAAAAGAGTTACTTGAAACAAACTAATAATAACTTTTATAGTCATTTTCATTTAAACAATAAAAATTTCAAATTAAAAACTATGATATAATACTATGGGATACAGATGAATGACTACATCAGTAATCTAACTGCGACTGAGACCAAATTTATAGATTTTTGAAACAAGTTTGAAAGAAATCATAAAGATAACCTGGCTCAAGCATGGATGTATTCACTGAGACACATAAGATGTTATCCAGAGTCTATCTCAGCACTCAAAAATGACAGGAAACTACTTTGTAAAACAGCCTGTTTCATCTTCTGATGGTTTTGTCTACGAGGGAGTTCTTTCTCATGCTGATCCCAAATCTGCTTCCCTGGAGCATCCACCAGTCCGAGACCACCTAGCAACCATAAGGAATAACCAGATCTTTTTCTAATATTTAAAGACGGCTCTTAGGAGCACGACGTATCTTTTAATTCTTTAGGTCAACACTTCCAATTCCTTCAGTTATTTCGCATAATGACATGGTTTTGAATTTCTTTCTCAGTCTAGATAATTTTGTCTAAATATGTTCCAGTGTTTTATCTGTTTCAAAGTATGAATCCAGAATTGAATACTACTGTTGGTCTCACTAAAGCAGAATAAGAGTGAACCCGTATTTCCCTCATTATAACATCTCTTTAATAATACCATTAGTAACATCATTTAATACAATCAGATCACAATGGTCTTCTGTATTTTTACCAATTATATGTTGCTATTATATACTATAACTGGCTTTTATGTTAAATAAAACCCCTACCCAAAAAACACACTGCAGTGTAAAACCATGTCCCATTATGCTGAATATACCAAGCCATTCCTTCCCACTTATGTCCCCTTTTATAGAGAATCCACCTTCCATAGTCCTGGCTACTCTGGTAATATGACTAAAACCCCCTCCAACAATCCACCCTAGCATGGCTGAATGATGAATGAAGGTTGGACATCTGACATAGAAGAACCAAGTCCTGAGCTGGGATGAGCCAGTTGAGACTGTAAGTGTTAAAGACCAGGCAATTAGGACATCTTTAGTACAGCCAGAATATATAAGGATCACATGCAAGGTACAGAGTAAGCCACATTACTGGGATGAGAGAGAAGAATGAGCAAACACACAGAGAGAAGATGAGAAAAAGACATTGCAGATCCAGTGTAAGAGAGAAAGAAATTGGAACCAGACACTGTCTCATACCCAGTGACCTTCCACTTCCTTACTTCAGTCCCTGCTTTTACCTTACTTACCTGACTTACCTTTTAGAATCCATACCCAATATTCTTCCACTATTCTCACTTTTCCCCCTAAAGCTACCTATTCCTTACAACCAATAACCCTCATTCTCTTTTGTGAGCATTTAGCTTTTCAGATGCAAGTGCAGAAAAACAAATATAATTGTAAGTATAAATAAATAAATAAAATTTTAATGTATATACATATACATATGTATGTATGTTTTAGACTCAAACTTTACTTAAGTGACTTTGTATCCAGAAAATTCTAAGCTTTGTATCTTCTGCAAAACTGATTCTGTTGTTTTATCCATCTAATTTATTGATAAAGAATGTTGAATATGAGTTCTACCCTCAATATAAAGTTAAGGGTAGGACTCTATAGCATGTCATATCTGCTTGGTTTGGTCTGGGGCTGGTTTAGTTGGTAAGTCATGTCCAAATCTTGCAATACCATGGACTGTAGCCCACGAGACTCCTCTGACATGAGATTCTCCAGGCAAGAATATTGGAATGGGTTGCCATTTCCTTCTCATATCTGCTTGGTTAATACTAATCCATTACTCAGCACATTACAGATACAATGATTCAACTGATTACTAAACAACCCAATGACTTGTGTAACCTGTCTATATTTATTCATATGGCCTTTAGGAATATTAAGACAAACTTTGTCAAATGCCTTCATAAATTCCATATATTCTATGTCAACTATAGTTCCTAAATCTAGTGACTCTGCACAAAATGGAATGGCAAAGCCTACATGCTGGTTCTGTTCAAGAACATAAAATTGGCTCAATGGTTATTGTCTTCTCTAACATATGCTCACAAATTGCCCTTTAATATAGTCCAGAATCTTGTCTGGGAGTTCGCTAGTAGTAATTTATGGTCATTCTATACATGGAATGGTATTTGTATATTATCCTCTTATTCTCTACATGTTCTCAAAGATCACTAAGAGTGGCTCTGTAATCCTATTGAAATATACTATGATAAACGACAGAAATGGTATGGACCTAACGGAAGCAGAAGATATTAAGAGGTGGCAAGAGTACACAGAAGAACTGTACAAAAAAGATCTTCACGACCAGATAATCATGATGATGTGATCACTCACCTAGAGCCAGACATCCTGGAATGTGAAGTCAAGTGGGCCTTAGGAAGCATCACTACGAACAAAGCTAGTGGAGGTGATGGAATTCCTGTTGAGCTATTTCAAATCCTGAAAGATGATGCTGTGAAAGTGCTGCACTCAATATGCCAGCAAATTTGGAAAACTCAGCAGTGGCCACAGGACTGAAAAAGGTCAGTTTTCATTCCAATCCCTAATAAAGGCAATCCCAAAGAATTCTCAAACTACCACACAATTGCACCCATCTCACATGCTAGTAAAGTAATGCTCAAAATTCTCCAAGCCAGGCTTCAGCAATACGTGAACTGAGAACTTCCAGATGGTCAAGCTGGTTTTAGAAAAGGCAGAGGAACCAGAGATCAAATTGCCAATATCCGCTGGATTATCGAAAAAGCAAGAGAGTTCCATAAAAACATCTATTTCTGCTTTATTGACTACGCAAAAGCCTTCGACTGTTTGGATCACAATAAACTGTGGAAAATTCTTCAAGAGATGGGAATACCAGACCACCTGACCTGCCTCTTGAGAAACCTGTATGCAGGTCAGGAAGCAACAGTTAGAACTGGACATGGAACAACAGACTGGTTCCAAATAGGAAAAGGAGTACATCACGGCTGTATATTGTCACCCTGCTTATTTAACTTATATGCAGAGTACATCATGAGAAACGCTGGGCTGGATGAAGCACAAGCTGGAATCAAGATTGCTGGGAGAAATATCAATAACCTCAGATATGCAGATGACACCACCCTTGTTGCAGAAAGCGAAGAGGAACTAAAAAGCCTCTTGATGAAAGTGAAAGAGGAGAGTGAAGAAGCTGGCTTAAAGCTGAACATTCAGAAAACGAAGATCATGGCATCTGGTCCCATCACTTCATGGGAAATAGATGGGGAGACAGTGGAAACAGTGTCAGACTTTATTTTTTTGGGCTCTGAAATCACTGCAGATGGTGACCACAGCCATGAAATTAAAAGACGCTTACTCCTTGAAAGGAAAGTTATGACCAACCTGGAGAGCATATTAAAAAGCAGAGACATTACTTTGCCAACAAAGGTCTGTCTGGTCAAGGCTATGGTTTTTCCACTGGTCATGTATGGATGTGACAGTTGGACGGTGGAGAAAGCTGAGCACCAAAAAATTGATGCTTTTGAACTATAGTATTGGAGAAGACTCTTGAGAGTCCCTTGGACTGCAAGGAGATTCAACCAGTCCATCCTAAAGGAGATCAGTCCTGGGTGTTCATTGGAAGGACTGATGCTGAAGCTGAAACTCCAGTACTTTGGCCACCTCATGCGAAGAGTTGATTCATTGGAAAAGACCCTGATGCTGGGAGGGATTGGGGGCAGGAGGAGAAGGGGCTGACAGAGGATAAGATGGCTGGATGGCATCACCGACTCGATGGGCATGAGTTTGAGTAAACTCCAGGAGTTGGTGATGGACAGGGAGGCCTGGCGTGCTGCGATTCATGGGGTCGCAAAGAGTCAGACACGACGGAGCGACTGAACTG